ACTGGTGGAGTACAAAGCTGGAGCAGCCGAACTACTACATATTCGAATTCGCCGAGTCGAGGACAAACACCAGCAGCTGGGGCAGGCAGCCAGCGGGCTGTGGCAGGGCCAGACGTGGAAGCCGGCGGTGAAATGTTGGCTCTGTTGAAGGCAATAAAATGAAATTACAACTTAATTGTCATAAATAATTCAGGAGATTCCTTGCCAGCGTCGAAAACTCTGCGCTGCGAACGAAATCAGAGCGACCCGCAAATACGCCCCAACTCTGTCGCCCTGCCCCCCCCCTGCCCCCTCCCGCCTGATACTCCATCTAAAAGCACAGTTCGTGCACCTTCTACATCGGCGCTTAACGAACATTTTAAAGGCAGCTGCTGCTTAAAGCGAACAGATTTGTCCACGGCAGCTGCAGGAGCAATATTATGTGTTTTATTATTAACAAAGTTAATCCCCTGACCTAGTTAAGTTGACTCGATAGCGCACACACACACACAACTCGCTAGGGAGTCACTGCTGAGTCTGTCAGATCAACTGCATGAATATAATATTGGCAGAGCTCCACAAAACAAACAGCTGATTACGGAGCTGATCAAATCGCAATCGTGGTCAAAAGTCAAACGTCAGAAGTGAAAAGTGAAAAGTCGAAATGGCAATTGGAATTAAATTTATTTAATTGCAATCAATTTACGGCAAATTCGATATTGCTTATCCAGCCACATGTCAGGCCATTTGATTATTTTCAATTGCCCTTATTAAGCACATTTTCGACAGAAATCGTATGTGTTCGAGCTCTCCCTTGGCGCTGTTGCATATTTCTCTATGACAGATTCCCTCAATTATGCAGAGAATATTGTTTGGGCTGATGCCAAACAAAACAACAAGTAAATAATGGTAAATTAGCAAAATGACAAAAGTTCTACAACAATCACACACACGCACGCTCGCTCGCTGCCTTCGTAGGCCCGCAATTTGGAGGGGTTCGGTAAGCAGCTCCTGATTGCCAGTTAAGAATGTGCAAACAAGCAAACAAACCAACCGTCGCGACGGCAGGGTCTGATTGTGATTGTTAGAAGCTGGGGCGAACATCAGCAGCAGAGGACCAGGAGCAGCAGCAGGAGCTGGAGCAGGAGTAGGACTGAAGCGAAGGCATAGAATTGGTAAAGGACAAGAAATTGCTTACGAAAACAAAAACGAAATATAACATGTGTTCAATGCGATGCGAACACACTGATGGTGATCCTTTCCACCAAACCGAAGGGGCACATCATATTTCTATGCGCTCCCCAGTGCCTGGTGGGGACTGCTGCCCAGCACTGGAGGCCTTTAAAAAGTAACACTCTGTTGAGCAAACAATCGAACAATTTATTTTGGTTTAATAATAATAAAGAAGGCAGAGAAAAAAAACAATGAGAAGCGACAAGCGAGAAGCGACAGCAAATGGGGAACGAGAAAAAGTGCAAACCAAGTGAAAGCCCCGGAAAATGTATATAAATGCCCATCTGAAACTGGAAGTCGACTCCTTTACTTGCCCTGAACGCATCCACATGCTGTGTGTATATTAAAAAAGTAAAATATAAAAATAAAAATAATGTAAATAAACCATTCGCAAATGTACAATGAAAGGAAAACAATGTTAAAAGGAGAGCGGCACAGAAAATGGCTGTGTATAAGTAAAGGAAAGCAAGTGATGGTATATGATGCATTGTATGCGCCCTGAGGATACCCTGTAGTTTGAGAATCTGTATATGCGAGTAAAGCTTATATATCTATGACATATTGTGCTTGCCTTGAAGATATCCTAGATTAGCAAACTTAAGACCACTTATAAATTGATTGAATTAACTAGATTAGTAGATTTTATATAATTTAAAACTTGAGTATCAATCTGATTAAGAAACATTCTATATATAAGCAAAAAAACGTAAGTAATAAACTATGAGACATTGTCTTAAAGATAAACTAGATAAAGGTCAGATTAGAAACATTTTGATGGAGTACAGCTCAAAGACATATCCTATCTCTATAATAAATGATTTAATAATTATAGTTTAATCTACAGTATAGAGTGAGATACTCACAATCTATACTATATATTAAAATCTTCAGCCAACTTAACAGATCTTGAGTGCTCTAAATTCTTTTCTATGCCAGAAATATCATAAATAAAAAAGTTTTACACATCAAACTATCTTCTTTGCGATTTTTTTCCTCGAATAAGTCTACCTCATATGTGCTTAATGCTTTTACAGGGTATATAACTTGCATATGTATCAATGCAGGCATTAAGCCCGGGTTAAAACATATTTAAATCAACCAAAAAATATTTTAAAAATGGTATTTTACTCTTCAGTTATTAAAAATGTAATATGAAATATGAATGCGCTGCGTGAGTTGATTTTAAAGGGAAATACATTCATAAACTCTTTTGTTTTTAAATTTATTAAATAACTGTGCGAGCTCAACTCTCAGAGCTCTATGTTTGTGAGTATATTCTCTTAGCCGACCCCCGTTGTGTGTGGATATATTGGATTTGGCTTGATTTGCATTGTCTAAGCCAAGATTGTGCTTATGACCATTGTCTTAGTTGCAAGCCATTATTAGCTAATGCGCTTTGGCAGTTGCAGCTTTCTCCAAGCATTATAATAATCATAATTGGTTTGTATTCTGGCAACTAGTCTTATCAGTCAGACGCTAGCTCTCGCTCTCTAATTGGGTCCCATTTGAGCTTGAGCTCATTAATCCACTTGACTCGGATAAGTATATACTTATATTTATATATATGTACCATTACGTAAAGGCTGTTGGGTGGCTGTAATCCCGTTTGAATTCAAAAAGCATTTTTAGTTGCATGCTGCATGTTGCATGATGCATGCTTACAGCTTAGCTGCGGATGGTCTGTTCGTCCGTGAAAAGTTTGTTTAGGGGAAGCATGGTATAATTTAGTTAAAGTTGCTGAAAATCTAAGCACGTAATTAACTCAGTTCTTACTGAGATTTTTGTTTGGCGCGCAGACATTTTGGCTTTGGCGGCAAACCTCCCCATTTTCCGTTGGATACTTTCTCATCTTTCGCGATAAACTTGCGATAATTTAATTACACGCGCAGCTCGAAACTGATGCTGGCCGCGATAAATTCAGCTATGGGCGGAGCAGATGGGGCTGATGGAGCGAGATGATGCAGACAGGAGAGGGGGCAGGGGCCGTCGGGATTTGTGACAGTGACAGAGACATGACTGGGAGTGGCTCGAGTGCCACTGCCACTGCCACTGCCACTGGCAATGGCACAGCTAGAGCTACAACGACAGCGACAGCGACAACGTTTTGCGACTGCGGTAAGTGGCAGCAATGTAAATTACGCGTATTAATATCAATTTATAATCTGAATCCAAAAACCGAACGGGAAATCCAAAAAAAAAAAACGAATTTTCGCACAGTCAGTCAGGATGCCGGCGATGATGCTGCAAATCCGTGATAAATCCTTAAAAATTACTTTTAATTTCGCAACCGAGAATGCAAAGCCTCAAATTGATGCCGCAGCCAGACGGGTCTTCTTCGTGCTCCCCTCCTGCTGCACTGTGCACAGCGAGGCTGAGATTGAGACAACCAAAGACCAGAAGCCCTCTGCACCACCAGTTAGCCAGCCACTCGGCCAAAGTTGGGCGTGTGGCGTGCGGAGGGCCGCTTCTAGATTAAAATAAGTCGAGCGATGAAAATAGATTACGCGCGTATTTTGCGAATGATGCGGCCCTACGAAGGAAAGCGGACGCCGACGGCGCTGACGTCGACGTTGGCGTCTGCGTCAACGTCAGCGTCAACGTCAATGCCGCTCTTGCCGGCGACGTCAGCAGAGGCGTGAAAAATCCCCCCAATTTAATTTGAGTTTTCCGTTGTTGCCGTCCCTTTGTTTGATTAGTCGATTTTGTGGACTTTGGCGCTAATTGTGCACAACGCAATCACACACCAACTCAGCTGTGTGTATGCGTGGGTGTGCTTGTGTGTGTGTGTTGCATATACAATTTGTTAAAGTGCGTTGGGCAGGGGTAAAAAAACCAGGCAGGACCGCATCCGTTTATGCTAATCAATTCGAGTTGGCTAGCACATATAAGAGAGCTCACATTCACACTTACACACACATGCACACACTCATCACACACACACCCACGCACACTTGCACAATGAAACATTCTGTTGCCGTTATTTTTGCAATATTTGCATAATTGCTTTTGTTGCTTTCGTTTTGTCGGCTTTGGCTCGACGCTTGGCGCTCGTTGTGTGCCAAATATTTATACATCGCCCGTTGCCGCCGTTGCCGTCGCAGCTGCTGCCACTGCCACAGCAGCCACTGTCGCTGGCTGAGCAAGCAGTGCCTCAGTCTAGGTGGACGCCTCTGGGCTGCGGTCGCACAATTTTTGGCCAATTTCACAAGTTGCACTCTGCGGCGATGGCGGCACACACACATGCAGACACAGACACAGACACCGACACCGGCACCGACACAGGCACAGGCACACATACAGACACACACACATTAGCATATTATAATTAGCACGTTTCCACTGGGCCGAATGGCATATTTTATACGCATTGCACAAATAACACGGCAAGGCGCACCGCACAGTGGTGCGGAGGCAGTTGCCGCATTGCGTTTATTGGCAGGATTTAAGGCGACGTCGGAACGGAAAGGCACGGAGTGGAGGCGAGCGCGAGTGTGGAGACGCTGATGGAGACGGGCAAAGATACGCGGCTCTCACGGCATTTTGGCGCTCTACTTTTCAAATTCGCGACCGCAAACGCTTTGCTTGCCAAAAACGCCGAACGCCGAACGCCGAACGTTCACGAGCTTTGGCCACCCCGCTGCGACAGCCATTGCCGATGGCCTTCGAACGTGTCAACAGCATCTGTGGTGATGCTGATGTCACGCCGACAGCAACGGCGGCAGTAGTAGCAGAAGTAGTACCACCAGCACCAGCAGCAGAAGCAGTAGAGGCAGACACTCAACACTTACAGAACGAACGATGGGTACGTCGGGCACCCATTACGAACACATCAAATAGAAGAGCAGCAACCGCACGTCGATGTCTACGTATCCACTGGTCCCGTTAGACTGGCGCGCTTTACTCAGGAACATGGACAGTGAGGCGCACGACGCTAGCAACAGACTTGCCAGTGCTCGCTCTCGCTCGCTAAGTGAGAGTCGAAAGGCAATTTCAACCCTCGGCAACATCAACACGTCAACATGTTGCTAACGTTCACTTTGACCCAAGCAAGCAGCAGATCAGTTGATCCGTGTTCTGCCTTGAAGACAGAAGAATGGGAATTATAAAATGTTAATTAATTTATTGATATTTATTTATAATTTTCGTATTACCTTTAAGCCGTTCGGTTTCCCAATTTAATAATGAAATAAATACATAAAGAATATTGTTTTGCATTCAAAAGCAACTAGACTGTTGAGGTTTTCTGAATTTGTCGTTTAATAACTGTTTAATAACTGTTTTACTTAATGGATTTGGATTTGGATTGAAATTTTTAGCATATGATCTACATATTCTATTGGATTAGTAGAAATTATTTCAGTCTATTGCTCTTATAGACGCGGACATCTACGCGTTGACACATAAAAACCTGATTTCCCAATTTCAGTGGGGTCTGAGTATAAAAAGTGCACCTAAATTGTTGGCTATTTCAAAAGTTTTCAGCACCGTTATATTGTGCATCTGTGAGCCAAAATATTTTAAGCTGACGCAAATTCTTGGCACTTGCTCTCTTTCTCTCTCACGTCTTCTAGTACAATTACCGTCAGTGTTGCCAGCAACATGCTGCTAAGCGCACGCATTAAGCAACATGTGTATAAGCGAAGGAAGAGAGAGTATGTTAAGAAACTCTTATACAAAAATGCGCAACAAATTCTCTAACGGTCACTATAACTTGCCATATTAGACGCTTTGAAGACCTAATTTAATTCTAATTTATGTAACTATTGACAACAACAGAGTGTTAAGAGAAACTCTTAACACTTGTGTGTATGTTTTTCGAGATTGTCAACAACCGATGTGAATTAAATGAAGAACTCTGAGTGCTGTGGTGCTGTAGAGAAAAAGTCTTCATTCATTAAAATAAATTAATGGAATGCCATTGTTCCTTTTCCGTGAAATAATTCATTTTGAACATTCTTTGGTTAAGTAGCACTCGACATATGCACAAAAATATATGCCAATAATTTATGTTGTACAATGCGTCTTCTTCACATTCAATTTATAATAAAAAGAGTTTCTTCTTCTTGTTCTCTAATGCATATTCATATAAATCAATACACACTCAGTTTTGGCTCTTTGGTATTGCCTTTCAATATAACTGTTAAATAGTAAGTACTACTTAGACACACGTTGTTGTTGCCACATGTAAACAGGACTATACAGCTATGTCCTCATGTGCACTTGGATAACGGTATGTGTGCGTAAGTGGAGGACTCGAGAAAATGAATTTGAATCATGTCTAAGCAGCCGATTCTCATGACTATCAGACGCTCCGGGGCATTTGCATAAGACCAAGATAAATATATTTCGAATGCCGACCAACAGACAATGTCAGACGCTGATCGACCGGTTAAAGGTTAACATGCCGCCACGAACACACACACACACACACATATATATATATATGTTTGTTGAACCTGAGGCCAAGCCTTTGGCCTGTTTATTTGTGTCGTTGGGTCGATTGAACATCAGCGATTAAATCGATGCGGTGTTACGTCTGATTGAAATTTCGCAATCTGATATACGTTCGAGTGGTTGGTTTGGCAATTGTGATTGTGAGATGTGGATTTTAATTGCGATTCGACATTCATTTGACCATACACACATATATGTGTGCTCTGATTGAAGTAAATGCACTTACTCTGAATTTAATTCGAATGACATGTATTTGCATATGATATATGTATGCATGCGTGGACTTTATATAGAGGGAGAGAGAGAAAGGATGTGAAACGAACTGCCTTTCCGACTGAAGGTCGAGAGCCGTGGCCCAGTTAAGCAGATGCGTGAATTTATACTCAGCCCTAAATGTGGGGGGTTTGGGGTGACATTACTGTGACCAAGTACAACTCTCGGAGCGCTCAATCGCATCGAGTGATTCCATGTTTAAATGTACATATAATGAATATTCAACGACAGCCACCTATTTAAATGTTCATTTTGAATAAATTATTGTTTGGTAAACAATTGAATGTGGCGCCTACACGTTAAGCCCCACCCACACTTTCGACTATTCCTGTCCATGGCCCTGGCACTGGCTCTGGCTCTGGCGCCGGAGTCGTCGTTGACGACGCGTCGTTTATCTTGGTGAAGCGGAAATTGCGGTTGAGTTCACGCTTAAAACTTTTGTTGCCAACTGATTATCGTTGACACGCCGTGAGCTTCAGCTTTCGCAACAACAAGTTGCAAGTATAGCTTACCCAATTTACAACACACACATACATGCGACTGGATTTATAGGCATCTGTGTGAGTGTGTTGTGTTTGCATGGATAACCCACATCGGGCACATTTGCCGTCTACTGTCGCAGAACGCCAAAATCAGGCAGCCAACTCTTTGCCAGTGGCCCGTCAGCTCGACAGTTTGGCGATAATTAATCAAGACCATCTGCATTCACAGGGCGTAAAAATGAAATGTCACAATAAAACCATTTGCGAGTCCTTGCCCATAGACATGGACAAAGCACCCACACTCACACCCACCCACACACACACACACACGCACACAGACAGACTCGAATGGCAAACACTAGCGACAATTAGCTTTTGTCAGAGGGCATGACAAACGGATTATATAAACGCCTCAATCATTCTGCCCGAACACAGAGTCCGCGACAAGAAGTCAAGGCAATGCCAACCAAGCCAACGGACGGACGGTAAAATAAATGATTTACACAGAGAGAAAGATGTATACATAATATATACACACACATAGACACATCTGTTAAGACACACAACTTTGCCTTATTATCAACAGACAAACAAGTTTTCATATTTCGATTTAGGAAACAATTACCAATGGGAATACGTCTGCCATTCAAGCAAATTGAGCGTGTGCCAAAGTGTTATATTTGATATTTATGTTCTGTATACGTAGTCAACAAGCTTTTAGTGTGCCACAGACATACAGACAGACGTCTGTATATATGTATGCGGGATATTCAGACAACTGTTTGTGTAAATGATGAATCCCTTTACGAACTTTGGCCTCACTTTCGCAGCGATTGCTCGGGGCGCGACACTTGTAAAGCTGTCACAACATTAATCAAATCGGGGACTGCAAAACAAATGCATGCCATAAATTTGCAGTTCAGTCGCCATGCGGCAATTGTGCGGTCCGTGTGGCTGCCGGCTGCCGGCTGTTGGCTGCCCAGTGAAAGTAACAGTGAAAGTATGTCCTGATGAGCTCTACGGCTCTGCAGCTCTCAGCAGCTTATGCCATGAACTTGTGATAAATATACTCTCGTGCATACTGAATCGTTTAGGCAAGTCAAATCGCAGTTCAATTTACATGGCGGAGTTTTCGTGTTGCATGTGCCACATACGTACGTGGCATACATGCATACATATCTGTGTGCGCGTGTGTGTGTGAGGGACGGCAAACAGCAATTGGGACTGCGATCAGCCCGTTGATGCGCGAGGACATTTGACTTTCCGGCTGTTGAACATCTCGTTTAATGACGCAATGTCGTTGGCAATGATAATGATGCCGCTGCCGGCATCCGACTCGACTGTGCCACAAATTTGCACCTGCCTGCTGGCGTCGGGGCGCGACAAGTTTGCCATGAAATTGAAGCTTACGCCACGGGTTGTCAGTACAAACGTTCCAGCCACTGCCCCCGCTCCCGACTCTGCCAAGGACTTGCCAAAAGATGAATCGACTGCAGCTCAATTATCTAAAAATGGACTCACATTTGGGCAAACGCTATACAACACTGGCGCACAGTATACTAATTTAAACAAGAGTTCAACACGTACAGCAAATGGCAGAGGCTCGTCCTGTCGCTGCTGATGCTCCTCAATGACATATTCGACAAATAATTCATGTTTACTTAACATTGCGCACAAATTTGCAGCCATAAAATAAACAAATTGGAAACTGTTCGTGTTCGAGCCATATGCATTGTTAACGATAAGTCTCACCACACACAAAATGGCCATGCGTAAATAATAAATACATGTATCTATATATATACATATACATATAAATATAGTATATATATGTAGCAAATTAAGCATACGATTATAATATATAATTCAGTTATGAGCATCGACCTGGTACTCAAAGAATAATTGTTAATCGCCTATTTATTTGCCTGCTGTTCACTTTTTTCGTTATATATTTTCGTTTTATAATTTTTGATAGATGACTCTTTATTATAATGCAAAAGTTAATAATTTGCACTTTATTCAAGAGCACAATTGTATTTATTAGAGCAAATTATCTCTCAATATTAAATTTGTTCTTTAGCTGATTTCATTTGATTCGATTTTGATATTGATTTTCATCCATAGAAATAAATATTAAATAACCAAAAATTCTATCAAATAATATTCTACAATCAAAATTATACAGAAAGAGAATGTAGAATTTGTAGTTTTTATAATTTTGGTAAGTAAAACTTATTTTAGCGATTGGAGTTTGGGAATCTTTTCATCTTTTCTTTTTACCTAACCAACTTTAGTAGTATTAAATTTGAATTAAATCTTTACTTTTATCCGCTTTACACGGTGCCCGAAATGTTTATTCAAATCATTAATAGCAGTCACGGATCTGCTATGGATTCCTAGAATGAAGGTTGAAGTAATACGCAGACTTATATTGAAACAAAATGCCAATGAGTATTCGAAGCGACTTGATAATGACATTAATGTTTCGTCATTGACGTTTTAAGCTCTCGTTTTGGTAGGTGCATCCTACCAGGACGAGGGTGGAGTGTCGAGCGAAGCTTGGAGTAGGGATAGCAGACAGCCGCAAGTGATTTCTCTTTGAACCAAGTTAAACACCTAACACGCTGTGAATCGCGAATCTCGGCAAATCCACTCATGTGGAATACACTTAATGCCCTCACATGCTGCCATACAGAGAGTGGAGGTCGACTGCAGTCAGCGTCCTGGTTCTGTTGCTGGTTCGGTCCTAGCCCTGGTCCTGGTGATGCTGGTTCTGGCGCTGGTGCTGGTGCTGGTGCTGGTGCTGGTCCTGGTCCTGATGTGTTGAACACAGGAGCGGTGTGGCTGACATTGCCTTCTCTTCCGCAATTGCGCCAA